TGCCCCCGCCCCGCCCGCCCCGCCAGCGGCTCGCAGGCAGGGCTAGTGCTAATCCCTGCTGAGAGACGCCTGCGCACCAGGCTGCAGCGCATGCAGCACAACAGCAGGGAGCACACCGCCCTGGCAATCCCTGCTGCAAGCGCCTGCCCCCACGAGCAGCACAGTCACAGTGGCCCTGACGGCCTGCATGGAACCGCCCCCCTGCAGCCTCGTGCCCACTCCGCCCCAGCCCCCGTGCCAGCGGGAGCCTTCCCCAGCAGGGCCCGGGCCTCACCTGGCAAGTGCCCTGCCCCACAGGCACGACCCACACACACGAGCAGCTTCTGGAGACATGGGAGGGCCTTCGCTAGAACCCACCCCGACAGCTGCCTCTTCACACCGCTGCCCCAGCCCAGACAAGCAGCGGCTCGGCGGGTACCACGCACCGTTTGGGAACATGCCAGAGGACTGATGCTCCCATGCTCACTCCCAGGGGACCTGTTACATCTCTTGGCGCCCATCCCCCTGTACGAGCCGCTAGCACTGGCCCGTGCCAACCCAAGCCGAGATGCACTGGCAGGGCAGCTTCGGGAAGCTGGCGCGGTACCGGCTGTGGCTAAGGTGCGCCCACCCGTAGCCATCTCTTCACCTGCCTTTAGGGTCGCTGACTGGGCTGGCCCCGGCCTGGCACAACAAAGGCAGGTTACACAAGGCGCCAGAGCCCTGTCACTCCAGAACCAGCTCTAGCGGTTTGCAGGGACTCTGTCCCCAGACTCCCCCGTTTCAAGCGGCCCACAGGCTGGGGCAGCAGCCATATGGCAGGGACCCCCCTGTGCGCCTCCCACCGACCTGCCCATCTCTACTCCCTCAATTCCTTGCTTTGTAGGGCCGGGTCTCAGCCAGCCTCATTGGCCGAGGAGGCAGAACACACACATCTCCAGCTAAACTCCAAGCAGAGCCTGCTGGGACGGCATCCGGCCCAAGACTCACACCCCCAGCACCGTTACACAGCAAAGGGGAGAGGGCTCCACTGGTACGTCAACTCAGCCAGCTGGCTGGGAACCCCCCGCCCCCAAACACTGCAACAACAGCCGGGTGCGGCAGGAACTGTCGCCCCCTCGGCTGTACACAACACTCGGACTACAATCCCCTTGGGGCTCACTTCCTGTTTGGTGTCAGGACACAGGCCTGCATGACAGGGCAGTGTGTCAGCCGGAGGCTGAGCTCATCACGGGGCCCTGGAGAACGGAAAGTAACAGACACAGCAAGACAGATAAGAACAGAGCCAGCGCTGACAGTGTCACCCGGGCTTCTAACTGAAGAGCCCTCACCCCCACCCCAAGTCAGAGCTACTGGCTGCAGGACAGCTCTGTACCCTTGGCACAGGACACCATGCTAGCCGGAAGCAGCATCAATGCTTACGAGATCAGGCCCCAGCCCCCAAGCCTATCCTGCTCCTTTTGCCCTCAGGACAGCCTCATAAAAAGTCCGTTAGATCATTGATCCATTACACTGAGGGGAAACTGAGGCACTGGTGTGCTGCGACATACACTTAGGGGTGTGAAGGTCAGTTCCTGGCAAAGCCCAGCTCCCAGGCCCCTCCTTCTAGCGTGATGCTATCACAAGCCCCTTCAGTGTGGGAACAGAACCCCCCAAGGATGACTGAGCGAGGATGGTCAGGCCGTTGCTCGTGTGGGTCGGAGACCGGACCCCAGACTCCATGGCCATTAGGGCAGCTGTGAAGTGTGGGTTAGACGCCAGGCAAGGGAGGGCCCAGCACGGTGGGGGGACCGGGTCCCCAGAACGCCCGCCCAGGGCATTACGGCCCGCAGAGTCAGCATCTGCATGAGCCATGGTGCACCGGGGCCCCCAGCCCCAGGGCGGAGCATTTCCTAGAGGCTGGGACAAGCTGCTCACAAACGAACCTTGGCCCCAGCCAAGTAACATCCTTCTCTGGCTCGACGAGGAAAGGTCAGACGGGGTGAGGGGTCAGCTCTGCTCTAGGCACCGGCTCCAGCCCTCCACTCCTGGGAAGCCAGCTCGAGGACAGTGAGACCACCCCTCACTGCCCTTCGTCCGGGGCTCCCAGAACCATCCACGCTTGCCGAGCGGCTCCC